GTGCTGACCATGTCCTAGCGCACTGGCTCCTTGTTTCGCCTTTCGTTGTGAAAGTTCGCCTCTGCCGACGCAGTTCAACAACCTTTCTCTACACACAGTTCAGTTCAGTTCAGCTTTGGTTCGGTTCAGTTCAGTTCAGTAATGCACTCCGCCCCGAGGAACCCAACCCAATGCGAACCCCAAACCTTATATCCTTATATCCCAGACACAAACACCAGCCGTTGTCTCTTTCGCTCGCATGGCCTTGGTCGTTCGGGGCTTTTGCTGAATGGGTGGAAAAAATTAAAAGTGAAACTTTGCTGCGCCTGCCTGGGCAGACGATGACGTCGGCGCAGAAGCTCGGCTCAATTGCAGTCTGCAGTCTGCAGGTCCTTGCCCTCAGCGGCAGCGCTGCCACGACTGGAGTTTTCCTCGCCAGCAGAGGCAGAAGCAAAAGCACTCCCATCGGCAGAACAGAGTTTTTCATGCTGCACACTGTCAAGTCCACGTTCACGAGAAGACCAAAAAGGAGCTGCGAACCCAACCCAAGTTTCGCAGGACCTTCGCGTCTGTCTGCTGCGTTGCTGCCTCTGTCGAAGTCCACTTCTCTGCCACTGCCACAGATTCTGCCACTGTCGACGTGGTCGTCGTCCTGTGTGTGTTTCGCTTTCCGTATTGGGTGTGTATCCGTTTGCCCGGGTACGACGACCGTACGTGCCCGGCGGAGTTCATTGAACGCCAACCGCAGCGCCAGCGATTTATGTATGGAAAGCGAAAAGGATAATGAGCCGAAGTCGACTGAGCTCGAAGCCAGGGCCCTGCCCCAACATAACGGAACTGCACTGGGCAAAAAAAGGTGTTAGGATTTTGGGATTTCCTCATTACCAAACTTGAAAGATATCACTTAGGTTTACTTGTAGGTTTAAATATTCAAATTCCCATAAACTAGAACCCTTAAAGAAATATAAAACAAAATAGTCAAAACTTAGAAGAGTTCCAAAATAACAAACTGCACTGATTTTCCTCCCAGTGTAGTCACATCCACATTGATGGCGTCGTCTGGCGTCTGAAAATGCCTGAAAAGGGTCGTTCGCCTTTTCTGTTGTCTGGCCCTTATTTTTGTTGTATTTGTAGTTGTTTTTTTTTTCTTTGCCCTCTGTGAGTGTGTGTGTTTTTTTACTTTGACTTTTTTGTTGTTCTCATGGTCTGGCAACCAATCTCTCGACCCCGCCCCCTTTCTGCCAACGGGAGGCAGACAGTGGCTGCTCCTTTGTCGAATTTATGCGCATTTTCAATCGCTTTGTCGTAGGTCGTGTTTGTTGTCGTTTCGCTCAGAACTGTCGTCAAGGTAATGTGTCGGCCACAGGATTATGGATTTAAGCCGCTTCCTTTCGACGTGTCCTGATCCTTTTGCCACAATGAGTTGTCCTCAAAGTACTCAAAGACATCTTTTTCTAGCTTCCTGCACTCCCTTGGGTTTTCTACTTAAAAGTTGTCTACTTTTAATTGTTGCTCGGAATGTGGCTTATTGATTTTTGCCACAGGATAAATGGACATTTTTTTTTATTGTTCTTTCTTTCTTGACTTTGCCTGGTAGCCATGACATCATCATCATCATTTGGCTGCAGTTGAATTTGCATTGCCTCATCGTTCCTGCGCCTCTGCCGGCCACGACGTCGACGCAGACGTCTGAGTCTGGGTAAAAAGCATTTGACCTTTGGGTTCGTTAACCCTTTTGTGCACTAGATGATGTAAGCCATGAAACATTGCTCGGAACGGGACTTACTATAGAAGTTGAAAATAAATATTTAGAATTTACTTAGTGTATCTCCGGAAATGCCCTTCACCTGAGTTCCATTGTTGTTCCATCGCCAATCTAAAATTTCAAAGTTTAATCATTTCTAATTAAACGGCAAACAAACGTATTTACATTTATTATATCAAGAACAGCAACAGCAATAGCAACAGCATGCAAATGGAAAACTTTCACTGCGCAATAGGGCGAATAGTTTACAAGCTGATAAGGAAGCAAAGTGCAAGCCAAAAGCTTAGCGAAGCTAAAAAAATAAACACTCGAAGCGAAAACTGCATTGATAAGAAGACTGCATAGAGAAAAAGGGCCAAAAGGGGAAGAACCACCTTGGAAAAAACACTTAATTTATGGTTATTTGACCTACGTCAAAGCAAATAAATATATATATGGCTAAAAAGCAACCAGCTCAAGGGCAAACCCTAAGTCAACAGAAGTAATAGAAAAGCAATAAAAAATCCTATTGATTTATAATCATTAACAAAGGCAGCAGTAAAAGTTGAAAAAACAATTAGTCAAACACAAAAAGATAATGCTCTAGAGCAGCACGGAGTCAAGTTGTATAACAAATGAATGAGAAAAACTTTCAATTTGTTACAATTTGCCATTTTATTTAAGCCAAGTCAATGAAACAAGATCTGGAAAGTATGTTATTCGAAGATCTTGATATGTTAACAAAAAGCTATTTGTTTCAATTATTTGCAAAAACAACAATAAAATGAATGAACGTAATTCTTAAGAATTGTTTTTGTTTAATTAAATACTTTCGTTTTTGCAATGTGTCTTTGGAGAATTTGCATTGAATGTGGCACAAAAAATGTAATTGTTTTGCATTTATAATTTGTTTTTTGTTTTTTTTTGTTTTTCTTTTTCGTTTTTGTTAATATACTTTCGCTTTTATTTTTGTTGTTTTCTTTGCGGTCGAGTGAATTTGTAATGAATTTAAAATTTACGTTTATTAACTGTCGAAATGGCAAACGACTTGACTGTACAGTGAGAATCGGTTAAGTGTTCTTCGGTTTTGTTTTAGAGAGTGGGAGCAGCTCAATCGCCTCTTCTCACTCTCGCTTATGGGGTGGAGATTGCATTCGTTTTTGCACATGCGCAAATCAAAGTAATAGCAGCAACAAAAACAAAAGAATGCACAGTATATATATTTTCAAGGTTAAAGTGCAACGAAACCGCAACACAATACCTAACTGGGGGTGGATTATGAGTGGGTGGTGGTGGTGGTAGTTGGCTGGGTGGCTGTCTGAATCAGAGAATCATCAGCATAAAAATAACTGGCATACCTTTTGTTCAATGTCCTTGAAATGTTGATATTAATTTCCCGACACTCTGATTAGATAATCACCTGCACACACCCACTGTGCACCCTGCATTTGTGTTTGCTTTTGTTTTTGTTATTTTTATTTTCATTTTTTTTGTGCAATGCGGATGAGTGAGACGAATGCGGCAATTTTTGTTGTTTTCGCATTCAATTCGCATGCACATTCTCGACTTGTGACTCAAGGTTATGATGATGATGATGCTCTAGCTGAACGCCCAACCCCTTACCACCTCTCCGCCGCCCCCCTTTGTACCCTTTATTCGCTGAAAAGCTCACACAAATTATTATTACACAGACAGTCAGAATGAGAGAGAAAGAGAGCAAGATAGACAGACACAAGCAAATAGCTCGCAATTTTATTTTATCAGCTGCCCCACCTCACCATCAGCCCCCTTCGTTTCGTTTTTCGCTTTTCGTTTCGTTTTGCATGCACATAAAACTAAATGCGAACTCTCCCCCCCTTAGTTTTCCACCCCTTTACATTTTACATTTCCGGGTTGTGCCCTCTCCACCGCACACATACTCGTACACCTAATGCACTCTGTATTTGGCTCTGAATGACTGCAAATCATCATTGGCCAACAATGGAAAATATGGATTAACTGCTAGTAATATTGAGTGCTATATATGCAAGGTACTAAAGTCTCGAAAGTGTAGCGAATTCGATGTCATAATAGATCGGGCCTTGGGAAAAAAGATCTAAGAATGTGTAAATAGGAATTCTACAATTCCTGGTTCCGCCTTTGATAGGAATTATTGCTTAGATTACCAGAAAAACCATAATAAATAAACAAGAGTTTAACTACAAATAAGGAAAACTAATTCATGGTCAACAGAAGTAAGCCACTTAATGTAAAGAGTCATAAATTAGGGTTAAAATATAAACTGACATATTAACATTTTCCAAAATAAGGAAACCCCCCTTTTCCAGGCACTTCCATGCCTTGCATTTGGCTTAATAATAAATATTTACATTACACTTGAAAAAATACATCGTTAAATTTGTTTATTCATTGAAACTACTTAGCTTCGCTGATTTCCTACTTAGATAGAAAGAGATGGGTAATACTTTATGACTGCGGCGCTAAGGCAGAGTGCAGTTATCAGCTGAACGTGCACATACATATAGTACTATATTCTTATATATATTTCTATATATATATAGGTAGTGCGGTTAGTACAGTTCACTTTGTCCTTGAGAGAACGATTCCAAGCGGTATGAGACCCCATTTGGGGTTCTATTCTGGTTAGAATCGCTTTCCGCATTGCAATTTGATAAAGATCGATGCAGTGGCGAGAGCATAGGAGCTTCGCGGAAGTTTTTATTTTTCTTTTGCCATGGCATACATGGCGTATGCGCAATGTGGCTGAGCTCTTATCACGGGTCGTCAGCGTTCAAGTTGAATGTTAAATGTTGAATGTAGCTGCATACTACTGACCAATTCCCTCTCACAGTGTTCAGTTTTATTGCATTTTTATGATTATGTCTTGGTCTGAGTGAGTGTACTCGTAAATTATTTATTTTTAATTTCGCTCGCGTCGAGTGTGTGTCCTTCAAATGCAATTGTGCGATGATTAGAAACGCAAAGGCGCAACCGATTTTTACTTTTTGTTTCTAATGTATGTAAGTACAAACGAATGTACAGCTGTTTATTTTCATTTTCACAGCGATAGCGAAAAGCTTTTTTGGCGCGCTATCTTGCCGTTCTACGCTCACGAATGCAGTTTGTTGATTTAACTAGAATATTGTTGATTTTTGTACGGACGGTATGCATGACAAGACTTTCGACTTCCTAGTGTGTCGAACGCATCTGTAAATTGCGCAAAGGTTCGCCTCCCTCTCTCTCTCTCTCTCTCTACTTGTTTAAAATCGAAAGTATCTTTCGTAAAAACCTAAACTGCCTGCCTCTTCCTCATTTCGTCTGCATATTTTTGGCTGACGGCGCCAGCTGGCAAAGAAAACCCACACACAAAAAATTAGACAAGGGATGGGAAAATCACGAGCAGCCAGAAAATCACTTTCTGCAGATCGTTTTCGCACATTTCCGCACTCGCAGAACAGAATCAAAATGCAATTCGCAAGTGCAAGTGCAAGTGCATTAGGCATCATTCAAAAACATACACACATAGAGAGAATCACATACCGACATAAAGATTCACATAGTCGGTAGTGTTGCAATTTTGCATCCGTGTCGCATTTGATCGCCGGGGCTCGGAAAATTCGTATTCGTATTTCGCATTTCGCATTCTACGTGCGTGCAGTTCATCGAGCGGACGGGATCAGAATCAGAGCCACTTAATAGCTCCTTTTGGCCACTTGAGAGGCTTACCGGGGGAGTTGAACACCTTATATATGGTTTATATCATATATATATAGCCGTATTTATTGTTCATATATCTGTACAGATTGGGTGAGTCCACAACAATCCCTCCGCCCCCAGCGAATGGCCATCAAAGTGAACTTCCTGGTTATGCGATTGCACTCAACTCTTGATTGGGGGGCGCGATAACATTTGGATTTAATGGCCAGAGCTTAGTGGGCTGATAAGAACGAGAGTTCCTGGTATTTCCTGCTGAAAATAGCTTGGGTATCTTATGGGGGAAATCCCTATCCTATTTTCCTAAATAATCTCCTGCATACGGAAGTTGGCAGTTTTATAATATTTGTTGAAGATATTTTATTAAGCAAACATCCTTTGAAAGTTTTTGATTTCTCTGGGGATCATTTCCATCAAAGAGAATTCTCATAAATAGGTTTCTAACTGCTTAGATTTTAGCTGAAATCTCTTTCATTTTTGTAAATTTTTATCTTTAACATAGCAGTTCTTAACCCTTAAGTCCTCTCCATTAATTTATGTAATCAAGATAAAGTGATCACACAATTTTCTGCCACTCAATAAGCTGCACTAGACCCCCCATCGCAACACCACAAACCCAACCCATCGTTACTTCCCTATTTCTGGGAAGGAATGGAATGGCCAGCCTTGCACAATAAATTCATGATTGCGCAGCTGAAAATGTCCGAAAAGGAAAAAAAAAATGAAAAAGAGAGCAAAAAGGAAAACTAACATTTTTAAATAATCGACAAGCAACCACGAATGAACCACCGCTGCAACCACTAGCCGCACCACCGAGCGAGAAGCTTTCGCCAGAAAGCGTTTTCACAACCCTCTCTGGCTGAGAACTTTCCGAGTGAGAATTTGAGAATCTTTAACGGGATGCGTTCGTATTGCAGTGCATGTCGTATTGGTGCAATGCCGGTTGCTGTCTAAGTATTAGTGCTGCTGTCATGGTGTCTGTATATATTGCAATTTTGAGCTTTTTTGGGGTCTATGCCGGTTGGATGTGGGTCAGTAGTAGGAACTCTCGGTTGGCGGCGTCAACGTTTCCCTAGCTCTTCTTCACAAAAATAAAATAAATCAAAACTGCAACCAAAAAAAAAAACCAAAACATATATAAATAAATCAAATAAATATTTTCTTCAGTCTTTGTTCGTATTTTCGTCGTCGTTTGCCGCATTTTCGCAGATGCGTTTGATTTTCATTTCCGCCTATCAAATTTAGACGAAAAATTCGAATGTCGCAGTGCGAATAAGATGTGCTGGCTGAGGAGCAGCAGGAGGTCCGTTGTAGCCGTAGATTGTCGAGCCAAGCAGCCGGACAGCCAGAGCCGGAAAATAATTCCGGGGCGGGCGGCACGACACACGGCGTATGCGTAACGAGAGAACGAAACAGAAAGTGATGCGTAATTTGCGGGCCCAACCAATACAAATAATAAGCAAAAAAATATCGAAATCAGTGCAAGGTGGAACAACAGCAAAGTATAAAACCCACAATCAATTAGCAGCTCTATAATAATTAAGAAACCAAAACAAAAGAAAGAAAAAGGAAACCAAATTTGAAATAAGTTTGAAAGCAATGTAGGGAAAATCCAAATGCAAATGCAAAACGAGAGTACAAAGCGCAGCAAACGGCAGCCAAATGAAGGAGAATAATTCAAGTGAGTTGTCTTCGAGGAATTTTCATTTCATTTTCCCCTACCTATGATGCGGTGAGGAGATGGTGTTAGGGGGGCGGCTAGGTGGTTATGCCCCTGAACGTGAACGTGTAACCTCCACTAAGGCCGTAATCTTGAACTGCACCACCAGCCCAACCAACCCCCTTTTACTGGATGACCCCTCCACTCGCTACTCGCTGCAGTTTCTGTAGTTAGCTTTTTGCAGTGACGATAACGCGACGATGCAACACTGTGAAAATGTAGAAGAGCTTTTCCATGGGGTGGCAGGAGTAGGGAGGGTACAGGTGCTGAGGGTGATAGGCGCCTCTATTTATAGCGCCAAATTATGTCTATATTTAAAACTTATTTTCCCACCTTCTTTGTCCCATTCCAGATCAAGTAAAACTTCAACCACAAACAACTAGCAGAATAAGCAGCAACCACTGAACCCCCTTTATATATATATCCATATATATATATATATCAATCAGCATATATATAGCGTTAGCTGAGCAACAATCTAGCTATAGTCGCCATGCATGGACATCACAATCACAATCATCTGCAGCAGCAGCAGCCACAAAATCCGCAGGAGCAGCAGCCCGGAGCCATCATGAAGGCAGAAAACCAGCCCCACCATCCCGCCCACAACCATTCACATCCGCACCAGCATCCCCATGCCCAGACACATCCGCATCCACATCCGCACCACAAGCTGCTGGCGAGAAGGGCGCGCAGTCGCAGTCGAAGTCGCAGTCCGACGCCGGATGGCAATCAGGACTACGATGTGACCATTATGCGGGAAGAGGATTTCCAGCGGCTGGCGGTCTATCTGGTGCCGGATGTCCAGGCGGAGCGGGGACTTCCCAATAGGGCGGACAAGACGCTGCCGCGCAGCCTGACGCTTAAGTCATCCATGGTCTACTCAACGCCAAATGTTAAGGTAAGGAAGCAGTTTCTCAGATAGAAGTTCCTTGAAAACCTTTAAATAAATTTTAGAAAAATCGGAAATTAACCTTTGATCCTTTTTTATTTTAACTACTTTTAGACTGAAGGAGTTTGGAGCAGCGGGGTCATACCACGTGGCACACGCTTTGGCCCATTCGAAGGCATTCCAACCTCAAACTATCCCAATGATAAGAATAAGGCGCGCTATTTCTGGCGGGTAAGCATCTTCATCTGTTTTTATCTTCACATACTGAAGGGTTAAGCATCTGTTGTGGGCTTTCAATTCATTTGCATCTTTCGTTTGCCTTTGTTTTTGGTCACAACACCTCTACCGAATCGAGGGTTAAGTGTCATAAGAAATCACCTAAGAACATGCTTCCCCCATCCAATCATCATCCAGCTGAAAAAGAAATCAAAACAATGCAACTAACCAACTCGTTTTTCTTCAATTTTTATTTCATGTGATCTAATCTTAAACCATCCCACAAAAACCCAACCAAAATGTACACAAATATGTATAAAAAAAAAAAATCAAACATAAATTCAAAATTAAATTTTGCATTTTGGAACAAAATTCGATTGTGGTTAATCAGGTGCAGGGAACACGCCACATTACCTACGGGAATATTAAGGTACCACTCACGATTTATGCTTTCCTTGATTTCTATTTGTTGTCTTTAACCCTTAGACTCTACACCAGCTTTCCCAACTAATCCTCCAAATCAGCACCAACTCTTTCTCTAACTATCCTTGCACTGCTTTACTGATTTGTAAACGATGTGTTTTTAAGTATTTTAAAGATTAAATTTAGATTTACATTTTAAAATATTTAACAAACACATCCCTAAACTCTCTTTTCCTTGTAGTATGATCTATGTTTGTTCTTCCTTGTTGTTCGTCTTGTGGCTCGTTATCTATTCTGACTTTTATTCTCCAGAATTTGTCTAAATTTCCCCCTTTTCCCGCTCTTTCTTTCCTTCTGTAGATCTTCAAGGACGATGACTATTATTATCTGGATGGCTCGGATCGCTCGCAATCTAATTGGATGCGCTATGTGGCGTCCGCGTACAGTTTGTCCGTAATGAATCTGGTGGCCTGCCAGCACCAGGAAAATATCTATTTCTATACCACCCGCGACATTCTGCCCAACGAGGAGCTGATGGTGTGGTACTGCAAGGACTTTGCCAGTCGTCTGGGCTACGATGTGGATCCCGAGACGACGATCTTTGGGGCCTGCAAGCAGGCAGTAGAAGCGGAAGAGGAGGCTGACGAAGAGGATGAGGGAGAGGATAGGAAGCCAAGATACTCGATGCCAGCTCCGGAAATACCCGCTGATGTGGCTGTAAGTCACATCACCTACGTCATGGGTCTCCATCTGCCTGTGGGTGCCGGAAGTGGTCCGACGAATGGTTCGGGTTCCGTATCTGGAGCCACGCCTCCGCCACCGACTGCCACTCAATGCTGCCGCCGCTCCAGTCCACCCGCCCACGTTAGTACCACCTCCACCTGCAACTCCCACCTCCCGCATATCCAACATGGTCGTCATGCTTCCGTGATCATTGGCCAAGATCGATCACCTTTGGCCAGCAGCGACAAGGATACGGCAGGATCTCCCCTGTCCGGCTTGGATCACCAGATGACACCGCAAGATGGCAGCGTACGATCTGTGAGATCGGATGAGGGCTATCACAGCAACGAGTGCCACGAGGATGGACTCACACCGCCGGAGGACTCCAGCGACAGCGAGAGTGAGCATAACTATGTGCTGGACTGCTCGAAGAAGGCCATTGCTCCCAAGGAGACAGTGATTGCCCAGGCGATAAAGCCCAGCAGTTCACCACCGGCAGTGGTTATGGCCAACACGATTACCAACTCGATGAATAGCCATAGTTCACCCACAGCCACGCCCATTTGTGAAACGGACAAGAATGAATACAGGAAGTTCAAGGTGAAGATGCCGCTGAAGTACGAGTTCAAGAACAAGAGCTGCGTGAAACAGGAGCCGATCCTTAAGGAAATGGATCAGGAAATGTCCATGCCGCAGGAGGAAGAGGAGGAACAGGTGATGCACCCGGAACCCGATTCCATTTGCCCCTCGACCACCACCCACCTGGGCGATGAGCATATGATGATCATGGAACGGGAACGAGAGAGGGAGCGCGAGAGGATTCAGGAACGAGAACAATCCAACCAGCAACCCGCCTCTTCCACGGTCATTGTACTGGAACACAATTCCGGCGGTCAAGCCCGCACCATTGTCCCACTAAGTAAACCGTACTATGAGCCAGATCCACCAGGTGAACGGTACATGCGATTTGGCCAGCCCTCTTCGAGCATTCTGGAGAACATCCTCACCAGCAAACATCGCTTGGAGGCAGCGGCAGCTGCAGCAAATGCCTGTCGGCAGGCCAATGCTGCCACACCACCACCCACATCGCCCACGGAGATGGCCTACAGCTACAAGAAGTCCCAGCGTTATGGTAATGCCGTGAGTCCCGATAGCAGTTCCAATCTCGGGCAGAATCCCGAGCAGCTCTCCTCGTCGGCAGTGGTGGTCAGTGAACAGGAAATGACCAGGGCCACTTTGATCAAGGGAGAATGCTCACCACCACCGCCCAGCCACCATCATCACAATGTCATCTTCTCACCCTCGAGGCATGCCGCTTACCTGGGAGCTGGAGAGACGGGTGGACACTCGCCGAGTAACGGTTATCCTGGATATCCGCACTATGGTGCAGCAGCCACCTCGACCTTCCACTCACCACCGCACAGTTCCCATTCCCCCTTCGACCGCCAGTCGAATGCCTCCAGTGGAGCGGGCTCCGCATCAAATTTGCATTTACTGCAAACCAGCACTCAGATGTTGAACCACCCGCTGATGCAGCCGCTCACTCCCCTGCAGCGTTTGTCGCCCCTAAGGATTTCACCACCCAGCAGCCTGAGTCCCGATGGAAACTCCTGTCCCCGCAGTGGCAGTCCTCTGAGTCCTAACTCCCTGGCCTCCAGAGGCTACCGATCGTTGCCGTATCCACTGAAGAAAAAAGATGGCAAAATGCACTACGAGTGCAATGTGTGCTGCAAGACCTTTGGCCAGTTGAGCAACTTGAAGGTGCACTTGAGAACCCATTCCGGCGAAAGGCCCTTCAAGTGCAATGTTTGCACGAAGAGCTTCACCCAATTGGCGCACCTCCAGAAACATCACCTGGTGCACACGGGCGAGAAACCGCATCAATGCGACATTTGCAAGAAGCGATTCTCGAGCACCTCCAACCTGAAGACTCACTTGAGGCTTCACAGTGGTCAGAAACCATATGCCTGTGATCTCTGCCCCCAGAAGTTCACACAGTTTGTGCATTTGAAGCTGCACAAGAGACTGCACACGAATGATAGGCCTTATGTGTGCCAGGGATGCGACAAGAAGTACATCAGTGCATCAGGGTTGAGGACCCACTGGAAGACCACCAGCTGCAAGCCCAATAATCTAGAGGAGGAGCTGGCCATGGCAGCAGCAGCTACATCGGAGTGTTTGGGTAAGTTTTACTGGAACCATCTTAAAGTAATTCTTAACTTATGATTTTATTTTCTTATTCCCTCAGATAAAGATCATCCCGAACCTGACTCCCGGGAAGCCTATGAGCAACTGACTCAGCATATGCATCCTTCAGTGCATCCGGGATTGAGGCATCTCTCGAACGGAGGTCAATCCCCACCACGTTTGATACCTCTGGGCAATCACATTATGCCACAGCAGCAACAACAGCAGCATCAGCAGCAGCAACAACATCCACAACAGGGCGTGCCACCGCCCCATTTGCTTATGGCCCAACATTCAGTGGGTCCGGCACCAATGCTGCTGACCACCGCCAGTCAGTTGCCACCACCACCGCCGCACCACCAACAGAACTCACCCAGCCGGCTGCTGCAACATGGCCACCCATTGCAGATGCAGATGCAACAGCAGCAGCAGCAGCACTCGCCCAAGGGTTTGAAATCCCTGCCAGAATCGGGTGTCTATCTGCATGGTCAGCATGTGCAGGCGCAGGAGAGCAGGCCATCGGTCATCGAGTCCTCCAACCAGCCCATGATCATTGAATGTACGTAGGATATATGTGAGATGGTATGGGAAAAGGAGGCAAGAGGAGCTGCAGACCAGAGGAAGTGATGGAATCCAAGTGCAATAAAATCAAATAGAGTTAAGAACAGACAGGCTTACAGACAGACCTTATCCCCCCAAGAAAAACAAAACGAAGAAAAACTAACAAAAACGCAGCACAAGTAAACGTAACGGTATTATTATATAGTTGTATATAGTTAATGAACTCCCCTCGTAAATTTTTGATCCCCCCCTTACCCTGAAATTGAAAACTCATTTTCGCGCTATGAAAACTAGATCTCACCAATTGGCAATCCCATGAATTCTTCTTCTCATCATTATCAGCATGGCAGGAGAGCACTAAAGGCATATTATTTTTGATAAATATTTTATATATATACACCGTACATATAAATGAAAAGTGAAAATTGGTTAACAGGAAGCGATTGTTAATGGGAGAATAAATGAAGCCGGCAGCAGAAGAGAATTTTGCGGAAAACTGAGAACGAGAAAGAAAATGCATTTAGATTTGACTTTCGGTGATTTTCCAGTTCTGATTTGTTCTCTCACCCTCCCTCTCTCTCTCTCTCTCTGTTTGTTTGTTTGTTTGTTTGTTTGTTGAGGCGCGCACCTTTAGACGTAGATAACACAGTTAAAAAGAAAAGTTAAAGGATTACATAAGGATACATTAACATAAATACATACAATACATAGATTCAAGTTGCCTTATTTGAATTTCGTTAGCAGTGAAACCCGCGGAATATAAAATCAGAAATTAGTAACCGAAAACATTTGCTTAGAGTCGATCATCTCTGTACAGTTAGAACAGATCTGAAAAGCTTATATACGTATTTTATATATGAATATATCATTATTATACATACGAATATATATATATATTTATATGTATTTTATTAAATATACACAATCGGAACAGCAGCAACAAACAAATGATAGCAAAAGTGTAAATAGAAGGAAACCTTATTTCGGCATCTGTTGAACTAGTATCGCCCTAGCTATATATAATTACTTAGACCACTAGGGATTACCATTACCATTATCATTATTATGATTACTATGATTATTATGAAAAGAAAAACGTATAAAAAACTAAGCAAGAAACGAAAAACAACAAAAACAAAAAAAAAACAAGTAAAGAAAAACTTAGCTGAAAAATCGGTGCTTTTGACTGTTTCCATTTGTCCACATTTACATTTACGATTGTATTTGTATTTTGAAACATATGAATTATATTGTAAACCACACTAAATATATATACACATAAAATATATACACTTTAGTATAACACTCTAGGATATTTCCCCTACCCAACCCTACCCTATCCTACCCCCTAAAGAAACTACTTTTGCGCCTTAATCATTCAACCTTTAACCTTTAACTCCAAACACCCCCTTAACCACAAAAACAAAACAAACCGAATCCAAAAAATTTGCTCGTATTGTACTTTACCAAAATTACGCTCTCAATTAGTCTTCGTTTTCGTCTGAATATTATATATATATATATATTATATATAAAATCTTTAGCTAAACTTAAGCTTATAATCTTAATGAGGCTGACTAGCTTTAAGTAACCATTAATATAAATCTATATATTAACGCATATTAATAAAACTAGCCATTAAGGTCTGTATATTAAAAGCTAAGCTTAATGCTAGGCTTCGATCTGTAAGACACAACACCAATTCGTAATGTTTAAGTATTTGTCTTGTTAAGTACGAGATACGGGGGGTTGGGGAGTTCCGGGGAAAATTCTTAAGAATCCCGCTAATTGAGACTAAGACTATGCAAAAGTTTTTGTATTTTTGTATTTGATACAAAGCAAGCAGGAGCTAGGAAATGAGTGACGTCGAGATGTTTTTAGTTAAGTAAGGTCTAGACTAAGCTACCATTAAGATTTCTAAGCATATGCAATATTTATATATATATATATACGCATAATATTTCTAAAGAAAAGCAAAACGCAGAAAAGATGAGACAAGCCTACATACATGGAAAATATAAAAGAAGATAATCAAAATTATACAAAAAAAAAAAAAAAAAAAATTGATTTTTTATTTCTTGTTTGGTTTTAATCTCACATTTGTTGGTTGTGCAATCATCTATTTATTTATTTTTTATATTTTTATTTTGTGCAATATTAAGCGAAATTAAATTTTTGTATTTATTTTTGCCATCAATTTGATTAACTTTTGCATTTTTGAAAAAGTTAGACAGAAAAATCTACTAAAATAAGCGACATACATAATACTTTCCTATTTGTGAGACTGAATGAATTACTATATATACAATACTCGTAACTCATAGAAAAGACACCCAAGCTCCAGCTCTAGCAGATCCCTCTTATAGAGGGTCTACTGTGTTGGCTTGACGATGAACCCCAGACATTTCGATATATATTTTACCGAACCTTTTGTTTGAGCAAGCATTGTAATATATTACGATACGAATATATGGATACATCTAGGTATATATATAAATATATAGATATATATTTATACAAGGCACACATACATAAATACGTAGTCGTAGAGAGCTATAGCTATAGCGATTTATACATACGAACAACCTATGGCCTATGGTTAAAGCGCCCAACTTTGTACAGTAATTGAAATCTGTTTCAGGATTCAAGGAACGTGACGACACAACGTAAATTTAAATGGAGAATAAATGACTGCTTCTTAGTGTTATAAGTGACTCTGATTTAGGTCGAACACACTCACACACATCCAAACACTTACACACCCGTACACTCACACACACACACAAATGATTCAAGGATCAATTCTAGAAATCAAATCCAAATATATATTCCATTATATATTCAATAAGTCTATCGTATACCTTTATTGCAATCAATATTTCAAATGTATGAATCTATATAATTACAATTATCTATAATTCAGCCCTATATAGATCATGTAGAGCCTTTGTTATACGTATTTATGTCCTATCAAATTGTTTACCCCACTATCTCTATCTCTACCTACCTAACTCTTTCATATAAACACAAAATGTACAAAATTGGTTCTCATAAATAATTAAAAATTAGAAAAAAGAAACAACAAAAACGCAGCGAATTTCATTTGCAATCGAAGCTAAGCCCAATTCAAATTGCAATTAAAACAAAATCATTTTAATATTCGAGATGGAGATTGAGTTTCTGTTTGAACCCTCTTGAAAAAAAAAACGAAAAACTAAACATGTTGATTTGTACGAGCCTCAAGGTATATACACGCTTATATATCACTCACCTCTTATACCACAATAAACGAAATAATTGACTATATGCATATTTATACGCCAATTACATGCGAAACATCTAAAACAAAAAAAGCAAAAAGCAAAGGCATTGAAAAACCAAAATCGAGCAGAAAACAAGAATTATCTAATTATTTGAATGCAACTTAAATTCCTATTAATTATATATGAAATATCTCTATAAAATATCTCTAAAGAATCACAATTAATAACAGTACGAAAAGAATGAATAAATACAAAAATATTTCATATTAAAAATGATTTTTGAATTTTTACTTGGACGAAAGCTATGGCATACTTTTAGGGGCTATGTTTCTTAAGGAAAGTTTTTATTATTTTCTTTTCTGGCTTTTATTTATTATTAATCTTAAGCACAACCTTAATCAATTTTAAAAATCAAAATAAGAAAAAAGTATATTTGTTTCGCTGAGATATTTGCAACTACATCTGATTAAATTCAGTTGCTCTGAGAAAAAGGCAGCTTATCGTCACCAAGAGCTCTGTGACGGTCTGTCGATGCAAATGGAAACATCAATCACATGTCAATCAACAATGAAAGTAGGGCACTTCAGTGCTTACTCTTACATGCTAACCCCCCCTGGACATGCAAATTGTGTGCGTTTTACGCATAAAAAGAGGGCAAACAAAAAAAAATCGCGTATCCTGATTATTATCCTGATGGAAAAACCAGAGGGAAACAAGGTGCCAGTTCGGGTCAAACGCGTGCTGTGCGGATATGCCACATGGATGGCTAAATGGAGTGAATGCATCCCCCACTATTAAACCCTCCCTCCCTCCGTGCTCTTTAATTTGCGATTTTTGCATAGATTTTTCCGAGCAGGAATTTTCCTCATTTTCATGTCAGCCTTGATTTTCTGTTTGGTAACGTTTTATAGTTAAAGCGGATTATTTTCATGGCCATTGTGTCGGCGCTCCCCGTCCATCGAATGTCCGGAAATGCCTCGTACCAAACCGAACTAAACGGATCCTCGGACCCTCGGACAATGCCTGGCTGCACTTCCCCAACTGCAATTGTACTCTCTCTTTGCTTGTGTGTGTGTGTGTGTGTGTGAATGCTAGGACGCCTTGTTAATCCTGTTCCAATTACGCGCATGTAAGTGCCTGCCATTTCATCCCATCGCATCCCTAATGGGTACTTTCGCTCTCGTCCCGTTCTTTTGTCCCTTTGGCCGGCTTTGTCCATCGACCACTGGCCATCAGGATTCAGACCGGCTCAGTGCAGCCAAAATATTGATTACAGACAACTGTGCGACGGCTGGCACAAGCTGCTTTGTTTTGGGTTCTTTAGCATTTATTTATTGTTGATAAAAAATAAGACTGACCCTTAGTGACCCCTCAAAACATTAACAGCACTCGCCCTCTGGGCTTTCCCATGCCTTTCATCTATTTACTTTTGTCATCGATTGAGTCTTCAAATTACAATTTTTTAGCTCAGTTTTTAGAGAGGGAAAAACATTGTTAATTATTTTTAAAATGATTTTTAAAGAAGTCTAGAGGTATTAAAGTGAAGCTAGAATAGGGATCACATGTTTCTAAAATTTAAAACTATTTTCACGCCTATTTCTGAATGCTTTCTCTGATGCTTCTCCTTCTTTATAATAAATATTTATTAATAAACTGCAACTTAAAACTTTTCAATTACTAATTTCTGTTGATTTTACAACATAATTTCTAGAAATTCTATATTTGCAAGTCACTTTCACTCATAATCGTGCCAGTTCTTGCCAAATTTACGAACCACAAAATGTTCATTTGATACCTCCCTTGTGATCTCGATTTTTCAGTTACAGTTTCCGCCCTCGGATCCGCTGTCATCAATCGCATTGGTCATCGATTGGGCACGCCAGCAAGGCACGTGCCGAAATTAATTGCACACAAGCCGGAGTCAGAGGACGAAAAGGGAGGATGAGTGGAAAGAGGCAGGACGAGCGTTCGCAAATATGTTGCACAATGCAGTTTGCACCCCAACGAGGGGTTGAAATGCATCCAGAAGATACAGCTGCCCGGCACGCGACTGAAGTGAGGGTTGCAGGCCGCCAGTTGTTGTGCAGTTTTTTAGTGCAATTTTTTGGCACTCACCAATCAGAAGAGTTTGTTTTTTATGGAAATCATTTTTTGAGCAAAGGCTCTGCCTATCAGAAATACGCAAGATTTCGGGGTGTGCTAATATTTCATTTTATAAATCGGAGATAATTATTTATTGAGTGAGAAAATGAAGGAATGTTATATCATGATTGTTGGGAGATACTTTGAGATACTTTGAGGGCATGAACATGACACTCTGTTAGTTATTTTATTTTAGGTTATCATATAAGAATCATAAACTTAACTTTGATATTTAAATTTTGAGGTTACATCACCTAAAAAGCGCGATAGATCTTTTCTTACAAAAAGTCATTACATTCAACTTACATTTGCAACACAATTATTTCCTTGTATAGATACATAAATAAAAAACATAATTAGGAGTTATTAAAGCTTGACTGTATAACAGTTTAGACTGTCAAGTATCCTGAAGTACGCTCGGCTCACGCACCTATTGAGTGCCAGATAAAGATACAGATACATCCGAATAGGAAAGTGTGCTAGGCATGCAGGGTCTATTCTATGGTATAGCATGGCATGGTCTATGGCTCGACATAGATAAATTTGCCGCTCTCCAATCCAATAATGCTCTTTCTAGCGCGCTCTCTCTCTATGTTTTTCGGCTATTCTCCCCCCGTGATCGTCATGTAGAGTATCTGTCAGATACATTTACGCGGTCTAAACGCGCTCAACTCAAAACCACTCAACTCAGCTCGATGTTTTCCACGCTCACTCGCACACACACACACACACATATATATACAGAGCAGGGTCGAATATTGTTTTCAAGATACTGAGCTAAACATTTTTCGGGCCTACTGCGACCTTCCTAGAAATAGTCAAACGCAATGCGGAGTCAGTGTGACGAAGTGCGTCGTGCGCAGCGGCAGCGTTTTTCCTCGTTTTTCCCCTTCTCTTAGAAACCCCAAGAAATTCGAGAAATTATTGTATCTGCATGTGAATGCGTGCGGGCAGTGAAAGATACAGATACAGTTACATCTTTGGCCACACATGTGTGTTCGTTGGCAGGAAAACCATGCATTCGCAGTGAAGTTTTGAAAAAGAAAATAGAGCGAGTTTTAAAGCGAAAAATAAACCAATTAAAGTGGAAAAAAATCTATTAGGAAGCAAGGAAGTGAAATGGAAAACTTGCAATTGGAAAATGGTTTGGAAAGGAGGACCAGCCAGAGCTCGACTTCATCAGGTTTGTTTAGCGTGTAGAGTAGAGTGAAACTAATTTTTAACTAATGCATTAACGTCAGACAACACAACACTCCCTCCGTTCCTCTCCCCTTCGACAAACTTGTTTTGTGTTCCAAAAAAAGCGACAACAAAATCGAAATATGAAATCTTATCAAAGTCGAAGCTGATTGGTTGTGCGATCGCCCTAATATTTGGTTTCTGTTTTTGTCTGTTTTTTTTTATATACTGCGCAGTTCTTTATTCGCTGGCGTGTGTTTTTTACGGTTTCTGTTGTGTTTTTGCTATTCGTTGATTTGATTTTTATTGGCAAATCGTTTGAGGGGAGGAGGTGGTGGTGTTCCTATATAAAGAGGTGTCATCAACCCCCGAAATCATTGACCGACATTCTTTCCACAAGCTATACCCCACCCCTTCGACGATCAAGGACACACAACTGTCCAGTTAGGGATTATCCTCGCCTCAATGCATTTCAGGCAATAGATCTTAAAGATTTACAAGGCTAATTGTACAGGGAAACCAGTTTGCGACTTATACCTATAAGAAAGGAAAACAGAAGGGGACAATCCAAAAGGATAATCACACTAGCGGTGGTGGTTTGACCAAGATTTTCATTCAATTATAGTTTTTTCTTATCAGACGCAAAAGAATTTCCAAAGATCTTAGCATTCCATTCACGTTGTCGGGGAAATGTGAGTGAGTGAGTAAGAGGGGGAGGGGGCGACCTAGAAATGCCAACAACCCCCGAAAATGAAAATACTTGATTTGAGATAAGCAACCATGAGAATGCAGTCAGAGTATCTTTGTATCTGGGCGATACTACGACTGCGAGTACAAGTACAAGTACCTCATTTCAGAAAGATAAGCCAGCCCAGCAGTGAAATGGAAACGAGCGAAGTGAAAACAATTTATGAATGAATGAACCATCTACATCGATGGGCGTGTGTGAGTGAGATGAGCCCCTGCTTACTGCTTAGATAATGGAATGAATCCACTCCGCCGCTCTTCTCTGTTATTTCCAAATATGTCTTATAATAACAACGAAACCTGTTTTCTGCCCTCAATGGGAGTTGCGATGGGAGGGGGGTTTTCTGGAGGTCTAAAGAATTTGATGGGCGGGAAGGGTAGACGAAGAGAACCTAACCCAAGTTGAACTTGCCTCGCGGCAAATGGGGCAAGGACACGATGATGTTGAACAAAAACAAAACAACAACAACACAGTTCCTGAGTTCTTGTTCAGCTGCCTCTCATTTGAATAACAAAACCTTGAAGGGATTCCCAGACAGGATATCGAATTGAGTTCCTAACTCAAATTTCCTTTTTTTATTCCAAACAGCGAATCAGGCGAATCCTGCAAGTCCTGGCCAGGAATGCGGCTGTGTACGGCTGGGCAAATGCAAATGGTTCAACGTGGCCAAAGGATGGGGCTTCCTTACCCCCAACGACGGCGGCCAGGAAGTGTTCGTCCATCAGGTGGCTACTTCAAACTCCACAATCGAGTTATTTATGCTTATTAAATATTTACCCCCTTTAGAGCGTCATCAAGATGTCCGGTTTCCGGTCACTAGGCGAGCAGGAAGAAGTGGAGTTCGAGTGCCAGCGTACCGAGCGCGGTCTGGAGGCCACCAGAGTGTCTGGAAGGCAGGGCGAGAGCTGCCACGGCAGCACCTACAGGCCACGCATGTGAGAGCCTCGTCCAAAAATTCAACCCACACACCCCCACTAAATTTCCCTAATTCTAACACTTACTTCCACCCCCTAGAAATCGCCGAACTCGCCGCATGCGCTGCTACAACTGCGGCGAATTCGCCAACCACATTGCCTCCGAATGCGCCTTGGGTCCTCAGCCGAAACGTTGTCATCGCTGCCGCGGAGAGGACCATCTGCATGCCGACTGCCCGCATCGCAGTGCGGTGAGTACTGATAAGCAAATCTTATATTCCAATTAAGGATTTAACAAACTTCCTTTCTTATGCAGAACCAAAACCACAGCAACAATAGTAGTAGCAGTGGAACCCAAGAGAAAAGCGAAGAGGCTACCTAGGAAATGCTAGGGGAATGATCCTGGGACACAGGATTGGTAGTTGGAAGTTAAAAACTTCTTTGACAAGTACAAAATGGAAATCTAAGAAAAAACACGCATCAAATCAAAGAAACCCACGTACAACAAAACTAGCTACTACTTTTAGATATTAGAGGGGATATTAAACTTAACCCCAAAAATCAACATATACTAAGTTTATCCCCTATTTTAATATTACTTTCTAAGAACCATAGATACTAAGGTTTTTGACTACAGTACGAGTAAATGAATTAAGTTAGAAAGAGTATCTTTTGGTCTGCTATCTAAATTGAAAGCTTTTCCACCCCTGGGGTGGAACTTAAAGCTTCGTGATGATAAGAAAGTCCTGTTCGGCAGTCACGTGGCTGCTCACAACATTGAAGCTTTCCTTGGGGCAACAACACAAAACAGAATCACCATGAAAACGCAGAATCATTGTAAGCTGGAAACCTGAAACCCACCCTCTTGGTGCTGAAGCCACCACCCCCTGAAAGTGAAACAGCAGCAGCAGCAACAACAAACGGATTGGGCGAGGACATGGCCAGGAGGAGAGGAGAAAGTCCTGCCTTTTTTGTTCGCTCTCTTTTTGGTTCTTGGCCCTTTGGCCGTTTTTGTTGTGGTTTGTATGGTTCGCCATCAGTTTGCAACATTTTGTTCGGGCTCGCTCGCTTGCCGATTCGCTCTCGCGTTTTTTGTCCTTCGCCAAGGAAGCAGTGGCAGGATACCCAAAAGGATGCAACTAAGGCCTGAATCGAGCTCAGTCTCAGTTGATCTCTGCCAGAGAATTGTTGTGTGCAACGCGGCGGAATTTACATTTACAACATTTTAACACAAATTATAAAAAAAAAAAAAACAAAATATTAAGGACAGTCAAATCAAATCAGCAACCTTAAACAAAAACAATAACTTAGACAACTAAAAGAATTTCAACAAAGTTAACAAAGCGTTTCAGCAACAAATTTTCAAACCAATAAAATACAATTTAAAAATTAAAATTACAAAACAAAACCCAAAACATTTGTACAATTTTTTTGCATAAAAAGTAAAAGTTTTTCAACGCATAAAAATCTTAAAAAAATGAAAGATATGCAAACAAAAAATGCTGGCGAAAATTAAGAGTTCAAGGTTAAGAGAAAATGCAAAAAAAATACCTTTTTTAACTGGGAAAACAATAATAACGCCAGCATCAACTGACAATACCAATAACAATAGCAACGTCAACGTCATCGCATATTCATTTGGGCCAAACCACACACACTCACATACACATATAAACGAAAGCACAAACACACTAACACACTTAAGGGCACACAAACACACAGAGAGAATTTACAACCAGATTTACATGGGGAGCGCCTGTTATGTAATATCCTCCTTCTGACGCTGTCTCCTGTCATGTTCCAAGTCCTTGTTCCTTGTTCCTTGTTCCCTGTCCCCATTTCTCGTTTTCCCGATTATCCTATCTGTGTGTGTGCGTGTTCTTGGGGGTGTGGCATATGCCATGCACCTCGGATTTGCTGCCCCTACGGGTGCTAATTTGATTTAATACGCTGCATGGGCACGGCATTGAGACATCAGGCCGAAGGACGAAGGACACTGGCCGCCCATCCCATCTATTGGTAACTCATAAAAATAGGGACGCGCCAAGGTGTGTCTGCTGCGAGGTTCTTTGTTTTTTATGGCATGCAAATCGGGGCCATAACAAACAAACATATTACGCATACGCCGCGTGCTCGATGATGATTTGACTGAATTTTCACAAAAGACCATCCAACCAAACAAAAAAAGGAGTTATTGGGTTGGGCCTAATTAACGAATGTGTGTCATAATGCGACAGGCGTTAGTAGGTCAAGTAGATGCGATTCTGGGCGGTTGGAGGTCGCCGCAGGTTCAGCGGGGGGAAAAGCTTTGGCCAAAAGGGCAACCCGAGGACGAGGACGAAGGATGGGAACGGGAACGAGGTGAGATGAGATGAGTCGCGTTTTTGGAGAGCAAAACTGGGCGACAAACGAGTGCGAGTAAATAAATAGATGGGCGTTTCTGGCCATTCAGACAATATTACACATTCGCCCCGTGGCCCTGGGTGTGGGATAATCTCTCGTGTCCTCTTTGTATTTCAATTATTTTGCAATTTTATAAACTCTCAATGTTCGTTCCCACACTATAAAATCTTTCTCTCTGACTGTCGTTTGCACCTCACTTTCACTTTTTTTTTACTTTTACATCACCCACATTACAAAATGTACTCAAATTAATGTTTTTCACTCCCTATATTCTTGCACAGGCAACGTAAGAATGAATCTCTTCTACTCTCTGTCTCTGGCATGACTCGAATTAAAGATAACAAAACCTCTAACCTAAATAAACTAATCTAACAAATCCATAAACGGTTAAAAGTTCCAAAAACACAATGTACAAAGTCTAAACATGTTTAAAACTCCTACTTAAACAACAAACTAAACCGAAACCAAGGAAATTGCTGTTAAAGTGCTAAATCTATAAACAAAAAAACATCACTATATCTTCCAAATAAATTCTAAAAGGTAAGTTATGTAGAATACTTTTTTAATATATATTATTGTACTGGTTTTTTCCTACGATTCTCAGTGTTATTATTAACTTTTAATGCAATCTTACGAGCACCACTTTCCACTTGAATGAATTAGTTCAATTAAATCCGATTTTTGTACATGGTTTCTTTTTGCTAAACAATTGTATTAGGGAGATTAACTCCATGACACAAAACACCATTTTAGCTACAAGGGCATCTTTTCCACGGCCATGTTCCATGCGGGTAGACCGCGGCACACGTATATGCAGCAGTTATAGATATTTGGCTCCACCTTGCCTTGCTGCACCAGCGAAAGTATGGAGCACAGGCTGCCAATGTGATAGTTGGGCTGATCGTCCATGGTGGGCGTTTTTTCTTCCTTTCCTGGAATATATATTTAAAATGTAGGTCATGGAGGGTGGTTAGAAATTTAGGAAACATATTATATAATATACTAATGTCTAAGAAAAGAGCCTAAGTAAGCGCCCACCTTTTATAATGCCAGTTTTAAGCCAAGACACACGATCAATATGCGTCCAGGGCATTACTTTTTTATCTCCCGGAGCCAGCCAAAGGCTCAAGATTGTTACCGAAACTGTGTCCATATTCCCATCTAGGGCGGGCATCAGAGTGCCTACTATGGAGGGACAGAGAGCTCCGTGGTAGTAATCATGTGCTCCATACAATGCACTGTAGAGGCCCGTGCCTAGCATACGTGTGGAATCGCAACCAAATAGGAAGACTACGCTGCGGACCCGTGCCCGACAAATCACTCGTCCATTGACGTACTGCAGCCCAGAGCCGTGACCTGCATAGCTACAAAATATATTATAGGAATTCACCAAGCATTACTTCAATTAAAATTTCATCTTACACAAAGCAATCCGCTTGAAGGGCCTGTTTCACCATCACCTCCTCTGTGGGCACAGTTTGGAAGAGATGCTGCCACTGGGAGAGCCAGTACTCAAAAAAACTTCGCATCCTGCGGCCGGAGTTGACCAAATCGGCATCCGGATTGATTATACACATGCCTTGCTTTATATTCGTAGTGTAATAGCCATGCTTTATGCTTGATTTGTTATTCTGGTACAAACGCCACAGGCAATGTAGTGATTTGACGCGAGAGAACTCCTGGACGGTGACTAGTTGCTCCCAATGGAGGTGGTCCAGGCGCTAAAAACAAATATAGTTTAAATCTGTTGTTTTTTTTCGTTTTTATATGTTATACTACCTCATCAACCACCAAGATAGTGGGAAATCTTCTGCCCGCCAGGGGCTGGCGTTCCTCCACCTGCGTCCAGTCGTTGGCCAATCCCTTGAGCATATCGTACACCGACTGGATCTCGTTTTCATTTCTGGTCAGTTCATAGCATATAAGCTTGAGATCTGCAGCATTCAGTCGATTGGCATGCAAAGCCGCTTGGGATAGCAAAACACGCTGGTGACTGCTCCATTGATTGACCAAGCAGAAATCATCAACTTGGGTATTTATGATTTTGATCTGCTGCTGGACAGCAGTGCAGTCATATCGTTTGCCAAAGAATAGATAGCAATACGGAGAGATTATGTTACGAAAGTCGGAGAGCAGTTTCTGGGGAAGATGAGGAAGTGATTTTAGATTTTATAAGTGTAGGACGACAAACTCACTTGCAGAAAGGTGTCAAAGGCATTCAGCTCCTCCCAATACTTTTGTTTGGCCTCCTTGCCCTTCATATTTAGGGGATCTACGGTGACCACTCGCCTGAACCGCTCCACCAAAGTGCTGTACTCCCGAAAGAGATTGGCCAGTTCATCGCCGGAAAATCTTAGGCAAATGGGTCCAAGCTCGGGACTTCTACAGTGCCGAAGCAAGGTGAGATATATGGCTCCATTGCTGGCGATAATTTCGTTGAAAACAGAGTATGTGGTGGCGGGATTAAAGCTTTTGCAGAGCTGCAGGACACACCATTCTTGGGGAAGGCTATGGCATACGTCCGAGATGCGGGTTAGACCTGCTTCGGGATCCTGTATATCCTCTAGAAAATCCAGGTACTCTAAAGTTTCTTTCGTTGGCTTCTCTGGTGGTTTATCCAGCTCTTTCTGCTTGAGATATTTAATGATGTTCTGCAGGAATTTGTTTCTGCAGATATTGAATATTATAAATATTATATTTAGTCGGATTTCAATCTTGTTAACCCACTTTTTGTAGTCTTTTTTCTCCTGGCTAGAGGCTGATTTGATCAGCTCCTCCGTTGTCGGCCTCTGATTTTCCAGTTCCGCCGCTTCGGTAAGATAACGAAGATCTGTTGACTGAAATTGGGCCTTAACCTGGTAATAAATCGAGTGCTCTACATTGTCATTGCGATATTCCTCATCGGCGCGTAGTAAATTATATTCTGCAATAACATGGTAAATAATAAAATTTACCAATTTAGCTTGGTTTTTTATACTTACCCTTCGCCTCGGGGCCTACATCAGCACTGGTGAAACGGGACAGCATCTTGGCCTCACCCCCGGTTTCTAACATTTCCACGCTTATCTTATATTTTTAATTGTTTATTTTTAAACTCTGGCGGCGTCGCCGCTTATTAATCCACAAGTTGCCTTCTTCTCATACCGATAACCATAGCTGCGCTGCAATCTTAACCAACACTGAACTATCGATAGTAGATTCACGATAGAGAACTGGTTCAATTTATGTGGTGTTTTTTAGTACTTTCTTTGGATTTCGCGGTAATTTTGAAAACCATTCGAAAAATAAAATATAATTTTTATTTTATTAGTTCATTATAAGCTGATAATTAATACATAATAATAAATTAATCTTGTAATCTTTCGTTGAAGTTATATGGTTTTTATAAAACTCAAAAATTTTCTCTAATATTTTATTTATTTTTTTAATAAATATTATTTAAAAATGTTTGTGTGTTTTAATAATTACTTAGTAATTTGGGGCATTACAGCTTTTAGTACAACCCATTTTTGGTGGTTGTAGTTAGAAAAAGCTTTCCCAGTTGGTGCTTATGGCCGTTCATTCATAAAAACATGAATCGAGATGAAAAGGTGCACGAGATTGCAGGTTGGCCGAAAAACAGATGATAGGGTTGCCACGCTTCCTAAATAAGGATGAGCGGTGGAACTGCGCAGCAACCACACCCTCCAAATATGTGGCCAAAAATTATTACATTTTTTAAACACTAGATTTTTGGTAAATTTAAAAAATATACTGGTTATTTTTATTTAAAAATACCTTTTAAGAAAGTAAAGGCAGGACTTTATCCTTAATACCTTCTGGTTTTTGGCAACCCTAAACCACACCCTCCAGTTGCCCTAAAAAGCCTTACGCAACAACAAAAGCCAAGCACACACATGCATTTGTATAAAGTTTATCAATAATTGCAGTCATCAATAAAAACTTAGTCCTTTTCTTAAATCTAAAAAACTTTTTAGCTGTCACTTTTTGTTATTTGTTAATTTATATTTTTGTAATTTTTGTGACGCGCTTTCTGAAAGCTGCCGCTGCTTCTGCTAACGTCAGCTGCAAGCTGCAGTTTTCTAATGACGTCTTTTGGAGGCAGCAAGAGATAACGGCATTTAACCGAAGTGAGTGGGTGGTTTCACTTATACTATAAGCTGCCACGCCTCTTTTTGATATTATAAAACTTTAGTTAACGATTTTTAATATAAAAATATTTTAAAATTTTTATAAAAAAACATTTTTTTAAATTAAAAACTTTGAAATGCAGGCGGCTAGAGCGAATAATTACCGTTAAGGAAGTTGCAGCTGGTCGCTGTCTTAACTCAACGAAAGCTTCGTTAAATATTGAAATAGCGCAGAGGCAGAAAGGCTCTTTCACTCACTCTCTCTCGCAGCCACCGCCACCGCCACTGCCACTGCCGACTGCAACTGCGACGCCGACGTTAGCATCCTTTCTACTTATTAATTTTGATGTTGCTTTTCACTTTTACTTTGTGGGGAACGTGCTGTTTGAAACTTTTGCCTGGTGGGCCAGTGTTGGCAAATAGAGGCAGACCAGGCTTTAATTGGGAAATTCTCGCTTGATTGGCATGTTCGAAAAAGGCACATCCTTTAATCCCACAGTGAAACCCCCTTAACCAACCACCCACCCCCTTTTAATTCACTTCCCTTTATCCTTTATGTTTTCTTGTTGTTTTTTTTTTTTTGGCTGCATTATTGATGTCGCTAACTCGGCACGTTCGTTGTCCTTTCCGCCTAGCAAATTATAACATTAATATTACATTAACACACACGTACACTCACACTCACACACACACATATGCATTGGGGAGACATTAAAACTTTCGCACACACAGCAGCAGCACATGTAACGAAGGGCCAAAAACAACAGGACCAGAGCCACCCCAATAAAAGAAAAACAACAACGAACATAATAAGAGAGGATGTGTGTGTGTGTGTGTGCGGGTGTGTGTGTGTGGCACACATTCCAACAGTTGCAGCGACGTCGCTGCCAGCTGCGCAGTTGGCGTCGCAGCATCCCTCTGCATTTGAGCGACTCAAAACGAATTTCGAAGTCGACGTCGACGGTTGTGTCGCTTTTTTCTTGCTTCAAATAAAATACTCAACTAAACAAAATAAAGCGTTTAACTAAAATTTAAAATAAAAAAATCAAAATAATAAAAGCGAAATAGAAAAAATAAAGAGAATTCCTAAGAAAAGCCATTGGCAAAGAAGCGGAAAAGGTGTAGCATACTTTTGTGCCGTGGTGGAAAAAACGCCCACGAGGCAGACGAAAATGAATTAATCAAGTCAAATTCAAATTATAAACATAAACCAACCAAGAAACGACATTTAAGTAAATTAAGGTGTGGTGATTTATGCAACTTTTTTGAGGCACACACGCAGCGAAAAGTGAGGGGTGGTGAGGGGGATGGCAATGGTGATGGTGAAGAAGGGGGGTCAAAGCCACTGCACATACCTCTAAGCTAAGCCCACACACACACACACACTCACTCTCACAGCAAGAGGAGCAGCAGAAGAAGAAGAAGACTGAGAAGAAGCAGAGGCATACAAAATAAAGGATAACGACGGAAAACCAAGAAAGAAATCGAAATTAAAATATAAGCCTGTGGGAAAAGCGTAGAGGAAAGAAGAAGGGGGGCATAGCAATTTTCGGCTGTCGCTGTAATTCGACGCTCATCTCCTGCTCAACTTTGCTCTCTTTTCCCGCTCTTCATTGCTCGCTTTCTCTTCTCATCTCATCTTTGCTCTGCTCCTCTCCTGTTTCGTCAAGTGAAAACATTTCGTTTGGGCTTCGTCAAGTTTTGTAGGTATTTTGGCCACACGAAAATACACAGCTCCATCATCCTGCTCGTTTTCGTGGCGAAAAAAGGAAAATCTCAATATTTCCAGCCCAAAATCATACCGAAAATTCCTCTAAAATATATAAAATAAAGTGAAAAGTGATCTTTTAATAATTAACGAAATTGGTTTCTGAAATACCCCAAAAAAAGCAGGCCAAAACGAACTCTTTTTCGGTGGGCCGCGAAAGGCGTTGCCAAATCAAAAGGCCACAGGATAAAACAACAAATCTTTAACTAAAATCGAAAACTAAATCCTAAATCGCAGGCGAGAAGAAAACTATAACCAACTAAAAGATAAAATCCATTTAATATATACAAAAATTAATCATACGCACCGTTTAAAAAGCACCAAATGAAAAACTGACTAAAAGGGAAAACCACAAGGAAAACGCAAAGCAAAAATAAAGGACAAACAAAGGAATAAGACTCTCCAGAGAAGGAGCAAAGGCAGCAGCATCAGCAAAGAACATTCAGCTGCATAAATAATACACTCGACACACGCATACGTATACGCCATATAGGCCAGGACATACCAGCAGGATTCCACACAAACACACACTCACACATATATAGACGAACGGGCAGGACGTGCTCCTGTTCTATTATTTAACTGCTTTCAACGTCAGCACCACGTTCAACCCGACGAAAGTCGATTGAAAGCCGCCTTCAACGGCATCCCAGCATCCCTCTCTCACTAAAAAAAAAAGGAAAAAAGAGAGAGCATATCCTTTGTGTGACTGTGTGTGTGTTGGACAGCAGGAGCGACGTCCACGTCAATCCGCTCAATATTTATACATTGAACCGAGTCTCCTGGTCCACGAGTCTCGCGGCCCTCACAACGCAGACGCTCCTGGTCCTCCGCTTGGGCCCAAAATAAATAACATCTGACAGCTGCCCTGAGTCCTGAATCCTGAATCCTTAAAAGCACTTAACGGGCAAAGGGGAAACAGAAGCGGAAAGATACAATTTCCATAGGAAAACATCAACCAAACTGAACGCGATCTTAAAACACAAACAAAACAATGGGCGCCAAAGAAAGTGTCGAGGCAGCCGCCAAAATGAACGCCGATGGTTGGGGCCATGTGGAGGTGTGTATTATTTATAAAAAAAAAACAATAAACACATATACAAAGAAAAGAAAACAAACTAAAACCTATTCATAAAATCTATTCCATGAATTCCCGAACTACCAAATGTTTTTTCCAAATATGTTGTCATGGAAAATTAGGGCCTTAAAATGAAAAACTATTTGGAAAGTCATAATATTAGCTTTGTATGTTTATGAGGCGTCAATAAAAACAGATCTGAGATCATTTTTCTTCAAAAGTTTCTGAAAAGAAGCTTTAAATGTTACTAATTATTCTAATCAAAGAAAAATGTAGGTCAAGCATATTTTATTTTCCTGTCAGTAAATTAAGAAATTAAAAAGATAATCATACTATAAAAAACAGCACAACTTTCTCTTACTCGATATCATAGATAAAGCTAATTAAAGAATGTCAACTACTTAATGAAAACTTATAGTCGCCAAACATAATTCTTCAGCAGCCAAAGGTCGCCACCACAAATGTTTATTTTAACAAAATCCGCTTCTTGTGTTCTCTTCCCCTAAAGTATCTATAGAAATCCCCCTAATCTTGTCAACAACTTGATGATCCATTTCGATCTGTCGCTCATCGCCTTAAACTGTGTCAGACCGACGATCCCAATTGCAATTCTAATGAGAATGGAGAGGGCCAAGAGTAGATTGATTTTAAAAATAAGTTTCAACGAAAACACGTGCAACTAGCACGCGAATAGAGAGCAGTCCCATTTCCCCCAATTTCCCATTTTCCCTTTTATCATTTCCATTCCCATAACCACTCCGGAACCATATTCCCATGGCCCATTGTCATGGTGTGGTCCACTTGATGATCGCATGTGCATATGCTGCTCGGTCATATCTTGCCAGAGATCTGATCTCTTGAGTGAATGGAGAGCTATGTGGGCGGTATGTGTGGCGCTCTCTCGAGACGCCAAGAGATCCAAAAAAAAAAAAGAGACCTCAAATCTGAGAGATGAAAATACGTTTCAGAGATTTTCTTGCGAGTCAGTTTGCCAGTTCAGTTGAGTCTGCGGCGTGCATTTGTGATGTTGTTTTGGCTTTTTCAAGATCTCGTCAGCCCCGATCCGTAAACCGCAATTCGAACCGTTTAGAAGCCGGCAACAACCACTGAATGGCCAAAACCGATTCATAAAACAGGTGTCTGTGTGTGTCGCCCTCTGGGTCAACCGATGTAAACAAAAATAGCTATATATAAATATATGTATATATATATATTTGGCGCTATTATAGCGATCGAAATGTGCTTCTATTCGAATGAACAAACAACAAATGTGGCCAACATATGGATGGGCTAGACTGTGAATATTTTTAAAAATTTAATCCACATTAAAAATAAACTCTGTTCCATATCTCACCTCACCTCAGAGTTTGTTTTGCATCCATTTGGGAGTGCAATGAATGAGGTGTCCAAGAAAATCAAACGGGAAAAACTTCAAAGCACATTTTCCGCTTTTCATCGTGTTTGGCTTGAGTTATGCATCGCTTTTGTTTTTGACACCTACACAAGTTTTGCGTGGCGGGGGTGAAGGGGAAAATATTGCTGCACCAGCATTCGCACCTCTTGCTCTTTTCTGGCTTGATGATAATAAACTGTGGCGTGGGTTGCTTCAACGCTTTAATCTCACAGAGTCTAGCAGCTGGAGATCTGAATCTAGGCTGGGCTGCCTTCGTTGCACATATTTTTTGAATGTTTTTTTTTGTCAAAATTTATTGCAGCTTAAAGACGGTGTTTAATATGCTTCTTCCACTACCCACTTGATTTTTACTAATAGCCTTAAGGTAATATCTAAAAAAGAGGTATTGTCTAGCAAAATGCAAAGACGAAGAAGTGATAGTCTTTTTTTTAAGATTTTATTAAAAATGTTCAAAGGTTTTAAGTGTTTAAGCTTGATTTAGAATATTATGTTCCAGCCTGAAAAATAATTTTGATGCTTAGGAAGGAAGGTTGTTAGGAAGTTTGCTATAATTTTTTGTTTAAAATAAATATAAGATATATTTTAACATATATAAAGTGTATGTGCCATAAAATATAATATATTTAAATTAATAATTACTCCAAATTGATTTACTTACAGCGATCGAGTCGCTACCACAACCATCGGCACAACCAGCGCTCACAGTCGCTGAATCGCGGACAGGCGCTCTCGCAGGCGGACGTGAGCGGCATGTGGTGACATCGGGGTGCCTCTGGTAAAGGTAAGCTCTTAATCTTCCCCTATAATCACACCCAGAAAATAATCGAAACTTCCCATAGGATCTGCGGCAAGCTGCGCCAACTGCGCCATGGGTAACAAACTGAGCTGCTCCTGTGCCCCGCTGATGCGCAAGGCCTATCGCTATGAGGATTCACCTTGGCAAAGTTCCCGTCGTCGCGATGGCCATCTATTGAGGTGGGTCATGGTCTTAACATTCCGTACTGAACTACTCTTTTAGCCCGACTCTGTTTATGTTCTCTGACTGCCGAAAAACTTCGGGGGGCCTCCAACCAACCACCGCCACTACCAACAACTGAACCACAATTGAATTCGCTCTTTCGATAACTTTTTTCAATCCAACTAATTGTGTTCTTCTTCTGGTTTTTCTTTCTTTCACAAAAAAAAAATATATATATATATATGTATATGATACAATTTACAAACTACAACTAATGACAAAAACAAATCGAAACAAAAATACACATAAAAACCACAAATAAACACAATTTGATGCGGCTAAAAAACTACCAAAACCACCACAACAACTACAAATGTATCCTGCTTCAACTTTTCCTTCCTACCTACTACGACTGCAACTACAACTACAACTATAACAACAACAAAATGTGTTTCTTTGTTTATCCAATTTTCCTCTCCAATCCAATGAAACTAAAAATCTAACAATTGTGCACCAAATCCAAAAATTCGAATCCGGAAATCGAATCTCCAACTAAACCTAAAACCTAAACAAAATCAAACTACTACCATTCAATGTTCAAACTTAATTAACCAACGATAGTTCGTTCAGGTTGTGGGCAGAGGTCTTCCATGTATCAGCCAGCGGAGCCGGCACCGTAAAATGGCAACAAGTGTCCGAGGATTTGGTTCCTGTGAACATCACCTGCATTCAGGACTCGCCCGAGTGCATCTTTCACATCACCGCGTACAACAGTCAGGTGGACAAGATACTCGATGTGAGACTTGTGCAGCCAGGTGAGTGCACATTCGTTGGGGGGGTGGTCAACTTAATGGAGTTCCCTCATGACAATCTCTATCATAAACCCCCTTTCTTACAGGTACACGCATTGGCCAGGCATCGGAGTGCTTCGTTTACTGGAAGGATCCCATGACCAACGACACCTGGGGCCTCAACTTCACATCGCCCATCGATGCCAAACAGTTCCGCGAGTGCTGTGTAAGTATTCTCTTACGGTCTGGCAAAGCAAACATTTTCGCATAGCGACGACAACAACAATGCCAACCAAAGAAAAACCAAAAAAAAAAAATAAATCAAAAATATATATATACAAAAAAAATTGAAAAACAAAAACAGCCAAAGAAAAAACATAAAAAAAATATATGAAAATTAATTCAAAACCAACCTCAACCGATACCGATACCGAAAAAAAAGAATAAGAAAAACCTCAGCCACCCCACCACTAATACAGCAACACTAACAACAGAGGTCTGCCGGCGAGCTGTAATCATGCCCGCCAGCTGGAGCACTCAGCTGAGCCACCATCCCCGAACCACTACCAAAAACCAGAACCACCAAGACCACCGTACCAAGTCAAAGCCAAAAAAACCGTACTACCCACCCACAAAACACTCATGACACACACACACACACAGAACAGACTTAAAACACTGAGAGAACCAAGGTGCCGATAAAGATGGTGACGATTAAAATGATAACGATTATGATTATGATGTTGATGCTGCCGCTGACGATGATTATAATGATAATGCTAATAATAATAATGGCTATGAGCCAGTTGATGTTTGCTTTGCATATAAAACACATCTCCCTAGCTATGTACTTTAAATATCCACAATCAATCTCAAGGTTCAGTGCCGCCAAACACTCGAACAATCTCAAGATGAAATCATAATTAAGCTCTTCATTCGCTCACTATCACCGCAGAGTCACGGTCACTGTCATAGTCACAGTCACACTCAAAGTTTATGCCAAGTGCGAAATTTTTATTTTGCAAAAAGTTGAAATTAACCTTGTCTTTTTTCAAACCATGTTAGAAAGATTTATATCATATTTTTCAATACCACAACAAGGAAAAATATAAGCTAAAAGTGATAAAAAATATGATCAATAACTTTGTTTAATTTGCTTAAATTATCCAAAAAAGATTTAATATCTCTCTTTCAAATATCGTAAGAAGGTGTCTAAAAGTATGCAATTGTATATTTTATAGCTTAAACCTGATATGTAAATTTTCATTAACTAAATCCGCAAATTTTGGCTTCGCATAAGCACAGTTTCAATCATCGTCACAATCAATATCCCCGCATAAACGAAACTCTCAAAAACACTCACCGAAACATAACTCCTTCTCGAACTCGCTAATTAGTTAGAAAACTTGACGATTTAAACAAATTGGTTCGCTGGAAATTTAAGACAATTTTTTCGTTCATTTTTATTTGGTTTCCAAAATTCCTAATAAGTTGTAGAAATTTGCGTTTATTGTTTTCTAGTTTTAGCCATTGACAAATTTGGCCAAGTAAAGTATAATCGTAGAATTAATAGAAAAACACTCACACACATGCAAACACAAGCACACATACAGAGACATGCACCTGAAAAAATGATTACTTACTTCATAGTCAGAAATTGAGAGAGAAAAGTAAGAAACTTTAAAGAACCAAAAAGACATTTGGTCCGTTTTATAAAACTAATCAAAAAACATAAAACTAAAAACTTTGATAATGTAAATAAAATATACTTATTAACCCAATTAGACATTGCCAAAACCCCAAATAATATTATAATCAAAAACTGATAATAAGTTCAGTCAAACTTCACCCTCTATACTACTTAATTTCTGACCAAATCATCCATTGAGCTATCATCTCAACAGAAACATTTCGAAACTGAAACTAGAATCCATCTATATAGAACACTTATCATACGCCTATTTAATATATAGACTCTAATATATTGTAGTCAGACATTAACTATCTGGACTAGCCAAGTCTAATAATTGTTTCATTTTCTTTTCTTACTTTGCGCATCATTTGTTGCAGGTGTCTTACATTGTAAAAAAATACGTTAGTATCGCTTCATATTGTTTCTTTCCCACTGTGTACAGTGTACATCACACATAGCCGTCACACACAACCACTGAATATTTATTGTTTCACCTAAGTGTCGTTATGATCGCCAAAAGAAAGATTATAATAATAATAATAACAATATCCATGTAAAAGTTCACCCCCTCTTAATTAAATGAATACCTCGTTTCAATCTGAAATGTTGGGCATGAGTAAGATCCTTCCATAAGTGTTTCACATCACAACAACCACATACTGAGTGTCGTAATTGTTGTAAAGTTTTCTGCTCTATGTGTCCACCCAACCACAGAACCACCCAATCCACCAACCACCAGACCCGATTTCTCCACCCCACACACTCTCGTCTTCACCCTCAGTGTTCATCTGAAGTTGCCCGTTTTGGGGATTCATTTGTAAATGTGATTCATCCAAGTGCAAAGATGAACAGCGAAAACTATCCGATAACACTGAACGCAGACAGACAAAAGCCCCACACATACACCTACACACACACAGACACACACACTAAAATTTGTTAAATGTATTTATATTATATATTCTTTCATTTCTTTTTCTCTCTTCTAATCATTTTTCGAAATCATTGTCGAAACACGCCAAACTCCAAAAAAAACTATAAATCCTTCGAAATATTTCATTTTTAAATGCATTTCATTTCGTACTTCAATTCGAAAACATTTTCAAAAACAACCAATACGAAAATAAAAACCGACGGATATTTCTTTCGAAATTTATGAATGAATAACACGCAACTCCAAACAAACAACAAACAAAACTCAACAACAACTCAACAACAATACTACAATACCTCAAAAAAAACCCTCGATTTAAAAAAACAACATTCTAAATGTACACCACGATTCTATCTGAAATCTATTTTATATATGAAACCCCTCTCGTTTCCCCCCCTTCGAAATGCTTTTATTATCTAACAATAATTTTATTTAACTACTCTAAATATATATTTATGTATAAATCTCGATTCGTTTGCATTTCACGTGTGCCACAAAAAATAAAAAAAAAACTAAAATTAAAACTGAAAAACCAAATATTAAATTTCCGTTGATAACTGAATGAAAAATGTATGTTAATTAAATTAAAATATTGAAAATTCGACCGCAATGATGATCGATGTTAACGATGTAAATAACTGTGGAAACCTACAAATGAAAATGCAAAAGAAAAACGCAAAACGCTTTAAAACAATCGCACGTATCCTCTACTACAATACCGTTACCTATCCCCTACAATCCGTTTCCGACGAGCCCTAATCCGATCCCCCCATCCCTGATATCCCGATCTATCCTCTCCCACTCCAAAATCCCATGCAAGTGGGCGGTTTACGAATCGAAGATATTTTCAAAAATCAAAATCAGTATCACTCCAGTGAGAGCTAGATTTGATAGTTAGGATGTTCAGCTACTGAATAGTTGAAGATATAGCGCATATATATTCTTGGAGCATCATTTATCGCCTCGAAGGCGGCTTCCATGGAGGTTTCTGAAACCACAAAACGAATCCAAATGAATGGAACTTAGATATATCTATATATCTCTATATATATATATTCAAGCAAACGCACATGCTTACAATAAATTGTTAAAGTTAACCCAAAGATCAAAGTTGTATAATCAAAAGAAATGTTAACGTTAGGCTAAGTCAATGTTCAGCTGAAACTAAGCTTTATCGCTATATAGAACAATCAAAGTTGTGAGTTATATAATTGCGCTTAGCGCCGAAAGAGAGATACAAGATCCCAAAAGTTTAAGCCAAAATCAAAAGCCCGTTTGTGTCCCCAACACACACTCTACTACCTAATGAAAACTGCTTTCACTATCTAGTTATTGTACTAAAGTAGATCAAGGCTTTCAGCACCCAAAGTCAAGCTTCAAACT